AAACCTGGCCAAACTTGGCCAAACCTGGCCAAACCTGGCCAAACCTGACCAAACCTGGCCAAACCTGGCCAAACTTGGCCAATCGTCGTCAAACGTCGCCACGGCCAAACCTGGCCAAACTTGGCCAAACCTGGCCAAACTTGGCCAAGCCTGGTCAATCTTGGCCAAAGAGTCAGTTACTGAAAAACTTTGGGGAAACACAAAGGAAGTGCTTATACACCATCTTTGGCCTTTAAACAAATGTTTTGGGGTATGGCGCGTAGACCAAAAACACTTCTCCCGGACGAAGCACCAGGTTTTAGCGAAAGACCAGAGATAAGCAACTTAACACCTCATTGGCTCTATCCGTGAAAAGAAAAAAACAAAAACCAACTCTCGAGCCCCTCCCCTCCAGACATGCGCTTAACATCTCAAGCGCCACCCAACGGTTCTTCTTCTTCTTCTTCTCCTTCTTCTTCTTCTTCTTCTTCGTGCTTGTGCTGTGTGAACGGAAATCTCCCCGTTGTGGGGGGTTGGGGAGGGCCAAAGAGGCTTTGGTCGCCAACGCTGTTCGTTGGTCCACCCGTACCCAGCTCGATCCCCAGCTCGCATGCTTCGTTGATCCCAAAAGAACCTCTGAAACCACCACCCTTTTTGGTCAATTGGAACAGCCCGACGTCTCAAACCAACACTGTCCAAACACAACAAAAAAACTGAAAAAAAAAACATGCATGTCCACCACGTGTTCGTTGGCTTCGACCACCGCTTCCCACTTCCACATACCCCGCATCGGCTTCCGCACGCATCTTCGTCCGCCTCATGAAGGAATCCTGTTCAGAAGAGCTTGTTTGGAAAAGAAAACACGCTGGAACCGATCCACCATGTAAAGAATGGGAACGACCTGTGTTTAAATGTATAAATCAATCTGCGAAGCCACATAAAATTCTTATTATAGCAGCTGGTTGGAGTGGACCAGAAGATTTCTGGCGGGACGCCAAAGTTGGAAACCCATCCGAGGTCCTGGGTCCGGCCCCCCGGCACAACACTGGTGTGTTGCGCCCTTATAAGGGCGTCCAGGGCCAGGTCATTGAGCCCTGGCCAGGTCATTGAGTAGTGGTTTGGCATTTTCCTGGATCCAGTCAAATGAGGTCGGTAAGACCTGAGGATGGATGGATGGATGTCCCCATTTTTCTGGATCGTCGTCGTGTGGATCCAAAATCTGGATCGGACGAGGAGGCTTCTGGATTTGGAGGCGCCTCAAGTCGTGAGACCGCCCCAGAAATCCCCCGACAGGCCATGTGGAAGCGGAAAAAAGAAATAAAACATTTGGATATAGACGACGCTTCAAAATGCTCCCTTAAAGCCAGAGCATTTGCATGGGTCCTCTTCAATGATGTCCTTTTGGAAAAGACGGAGGGGTCGATGCCATTGCTTGTTCGCAGGGGCGGATCACTTCTGTTAATAGTAGAAGGCCATCTATGATCACCTTTTTCTCACTTCCTCGCAGAAGAGGAGGAGTTGGTCTATCCCTCGAAACTTACGGCATGTTTGAGTGTATGGATTCGCAGAGAATGTCAACAGGTCTATCCACCTTGCAATCAACTGAACATCTCACAAAAGCCCTGAGGAACACGGAACCTCACAATCCTTTGCAGAACATCGTTCATCATTGTTCTTCTGTTGCTCCCATTGATTAGTCCAGGATCAGCTGAGGAAATTTGGCCCCTGAAGCGCGTTTGACTTGATTTCGCCGGATTCATTCCTGTTCCGATACTTCCGTCGTGAGCCTCGAAATTCAGCTTTTTCTGAATGCTTTTCACGTGTAATCTTGGGTACAAACCCAACCCCCACTACTTGGGTCTTGGGTCTATGACCCACTTTGGGCATTAAAGGGCTTTTTAGGGGGTGCAAAGACTTTGGAGCGGTTCGCACAGTCCGCGGTGGTTTCGGAGTGGTTTGAGTGCTTCCTTCTGCTGTGACCTGCCGACGAACTCGCTGAACTCGGCCAAGATGCCCAAGAGCCGACCAGGAAGAAGCTCGGGCGCGAGCGCTCGAAGACTTCCTGGGAAAGGATTGGATGGGAAAAAGGAGGGCAAAAGATCACAAGCAAGACCAAGAGACAGAGTTGAAAGAAGTAAAATTGCCACCATGGTGAGAACCATAGGATGAAAATATGCAGAAGCCACAAGAACAAGCTGAGGGTTTCTCCACACAACAGTCCCACACAGATCGATCGCGATGTAGCAGCGATCTAGCGGTTGACCCACTTCCACAAAGAGGTGGGTCCAAACTGACCCACTTAGTTGAAACATGTTGAAACCTTGTTGAAACCTTGTGCTCTTAAAATCTGAAAAAGTAAAAAATCCCTCACTCTCTTCGATCTGAAAACGCTACCGTCACTTCGTCACTTCGTCGGTCCGGTCCCACGGTCTCGGTCCGGTCACCTGCTCGGAGAGCTCCTGCTTCCGGATGCCTCGCCAGGTCACCTTCGCCGTCGCCGGTCGGACGGAGAATCGGACGGATCTCGACGCGGAAGGGGCGCTGGTCGCCCTACGACGGCTGGCGCCATACTGGTCGCCATCCCATCGTGGTGTGGGCCCAGCCGTGTTTTCGCGCCGCCCCGGCGGACTGGCACGTCCGGTCCTTGATGACCATTCGTGGTATTATTGCTGGTGGGCGGCGTTACAAGATTAACAACGATTCGATACCCTTTCGATGTGCTTTTCACTGCGCCCTTCATATTCACGCTGATCCCCAGGCCTTCATCTTGCTGACGGCGCTCCTTCCCTTCCGGGTGTCCGCATCCAAATCCTCGGCAAACGATTTCAGGCCAAGATGGGATGCCGAGCCTGGGATGGCTTCTGGCAGCCATGGCAATTCAATTGTCTCACAGTCTATAACCGGCTTCTGTAATCACTACACTCACATGGGTAAGGTGTTAGTTTGGAGTACACTCCCATGACCAGCAAATACAACCCAACCAGTGAAAAAGAAACTAAACCTAGGGGCAATACACAAGGCATGGCCCCATACCATCGACTCACGCCCGAACCAATCCGAAGACCCAAGGTCGGTGGTGCCATCCATGTTCATGACTCAGTGTGTAACCAATCCCATATCCCCTGTAACTCTAGTCCTCTCAGTCATTCCATATATCTCAGAGTGTCTACTCTACTCCTTTCATGATCGTTTCCCCATGTTTACCCCATAGCCCCTGTCTTCTTGACTCGGCTGAACTGTCGCTCGCAAGCACGATTTGCTCCACTCGGGCCAACCAACGGGAATGCCACCACCTGGAAAACGCTTGGCCACCTGGTTCATACCCGAAGTCCAGTTCGACGATATGTTCATATAGTTTGACCGACTGAAGTCGCTCCCGAAATCAAGTCCCCTTTATCTACTGACCCTTCAGTGGACCATTCATGTCACCCCTGTCTCGCTCCTGCCTCGCTCCGCGCGAGGGCTCGCGCGCGGTTGGTCCAGCTCGGTTGAGGCTCCTCCTCCCAAAGATCCAGGTCGATGAGCACCACATTTCGCGAAGCCTCCACCTGGAGCATCGGCCGCGACCGCGAGGGCGCGAGGGGAGCGGGGGAGCGAGCGCGAGCGCGACAGGCGAGGGGCGCTCGCCTACGTGCGGCGCGTGGACCTGAAGGATCGAAGTAGCTAACATGGTGAATCCAATAGAATCCCATTGATATACACCTGGAACCCAATTGAAATGTGTTTTGATAGGAAAAGGACCATCTTTTGGGTGGTTGGGTCTAAAATAGAGGTCAGACTCAGGTTCCAATCTAATAATGGTGCATCTGCTGCCAAGCTGAAAAACGGTTCCACTCCCACTCGCCACGCCCCACGCCTCGACGTTCCAATAACCTGGGAGAGAGGTCAGGTGCTCCGGCTCGGTCGGAAACCCGTGAGACGGAAAAAAAAAGTGGATGGGGAATGGAATGAATGGAATGGAATGGATGAGAAAATCCGTGACTTCCCTTTTTGGTGATGGGTGAGATTCTTCTTCTTTTGGTTGGAGGCCATCGCAAGTAGGTTGGAGGCCATCGCTATTGGAGGCGAGAGAAAAAAGGGCCCAACAATTGAGTCACAACACCTACAACATCTTGAGATCCCATGTCCATCTCAAAAACCGAAATAGCTTCCGTCCGACACCGACTAACGTGGGGCCGGCTGACGTTGCAGGGATTATGGCTTCACCGTGGCTCTTCGCGACCCCGACTTCCAACCTTGTAACCAAAAACAACTTGGCTGAACCTCCGATGAAAGGCCTTCAGGGATTCACCATACCCGACCTTGGGAGAAAAGCCTGGCCGCTTGCCCACTCCAAGCAGCTCCCGTGGCCAGCACCATCTGGTCCCTGAGCACGGTGCTGTCATCGCAGAGTTCGTTGGCAACTGAGCCTTATAACCCTTGTCTTGTTCTGCCTTTTAAGACACCTTCAGGTGCATATGCACAGGTTCAGACATTCCAGGCACAGCGCGAATAGGCAAAGACCACGGTGCGCACGGAAACACATTATATACATCACATGAGGCGTCCGCCTCCCGTGGACCCAACCCCGTCCATTGAAAAACAAGGAAGTCGCAGCTCCGGAGCTCCCACCGACCCAAAAAAGAGGCAGAGCGAAACCAAACGAAAGAGGCAGAGCGAAACCACGCTGGCGGGGTAACTCCTTCACGGCGATGTCTCTCTGGAGCTGAGCACGGGTTCGACCCAAACTCCGTGAGGCTTCTTATCTCAACAGGGTCGAACCATAGGCCCCACGAAAGGAGAAGTGAGAAACAGAACCTAAAATCTAGGGCGAACCTTGCAAGGATGTACTGTACACATATGCAAACGTTGCACTCAAGATTCACTGCAGACCTCAAAATACTTACAGAAGCCACATTGGCTTGGCTTCTAACCAGTTTTGCTCTACATCCCTTTTTGTTTGGCCAAAACCATCCGTTTGCTGCCCAAGATCAATGCGGACCCAACGGATTCTCGTCTTCTCCACGGTGGACCCGTCACACCGGTGGACCCGTGGGTCCTCGGGTCAGTCAGACCGATGTGGAGTACTGGGACCGTTCAGGGGAAAAGCAGGTCTTTTGCCTTCTTTTTCTCAAACTTCTCACGTTGAAAGAGAAGGTGGATCCCTCAAAGCCGCTTCTCGCCGTAGAGTATCCTTTGTAGTTGGTACCTATTGGATCGATGTCATATTGGTTATTCACTTGAAGGCATCCCCAAGAATCAACCAACCTAGCCCAACCCTCTGAGGCTCCACCACCCGCCCAACCCGCCCAACCGCCTTCACGGCCACATCGGGCGTCTCTGCGTAGCCGGTCTCTGGGTAGATCTCAGCGTTGCCGGTCTCGTCTTCGGTCCGGGTCCCCAAAGACATCCGCGGAAGGAGGCATAAGCTGCGTGGAACACAACAGGCAATTGTTCGTTTGGGGCGGAGGAAGAATCTCACGAAGAGTCTCAGTGTTGAACAACTCACCAGGTTGACCTGACCAGACCAGTCTGACCAGGCTCCGCACCATTTGTCGCCAGTCACGGTTCCGCAGAATCTGAAAGCGCTGCTTTCCCTTGGGCATCACTGCCTCAGAAAGCCCAGCGTCTTCTTCGAACCAAACGCGCGGACCAGTGGTGTTCAGCTTCAACGCGCGCAGTTGTTAGCTGCGGTCCAGAATGAAAGGACCTCCATGTTGAAATGTCACAATTTGAGAAACACGCGGCCGGAATAAGTGTATCCTTGACAAATTCATCACGTTTGGTGAGTAGTGTCATGGCAATAAGAGGATTTGCGGCAGTCACCACAGAATTATTGGCATTGAAAGTGTCTCTTAACAACAGGAGTGTGGATACTGGTTTGGAGTTGGAGAATTCACGGTGCCCGTTTCATGGTGAAGTCTTCAAAAGTCATGAAGTGGATCAATCGACCAGCTTCAGAAACGACTTCTTTCTTCGATGCGACACCCCCAGATTGCACAGTTCAACTAGACCAGCTCTCCCGTGACCTCAAAAACTGAACTCGGCCGCTGCTGACTCGACCGATCTTGGCATTGCTTGATTCGCGACCGCCGCGGCTGCGGTGACCCCCGCCGAACTCGGCGGAAAAAACGAACGCGGGCCTTGATGGAGAAGCGGCCCAGCACCTCGTCTTCGAGCGCCATTTCCTCCGGCTGCCAATCCTCGGTCGCAACCGATCCCATTCGGTGAAGGGTCCGCTGTCAACTGGAAGAGGCACCCCATCTGAGTGTCGGCAGCCCCTAAAAGGGGGGAGATCATAGCAGATCAAATCAGCTACATGTTCAGCTACTCTCAAAGGGCCCCTGTCTGGAGGCTTCTTGCCGGTTCTTTTTCGGCACGTGGGTTGGGGGGACGCTTGGGACTACAAGTGGGGTTGACCGACCTAGCCATCTTGGGCATCGGAAGTTCGGACGGCAAGGACCGGTTGATAGTCCGATCTTCGTCTCAGGAAGGCCAGGCAATGCAGAACCTTCAAGGCAGCCACTCTGTTGATGAGCCAACCATTGATGTGCGGAGCCCATGCGACGAGTCGGACCATGTGTCGGACCACGTCTTTGCCTTCCTTCGCTTGAGGATCCCGACGTTCCAGCTGCCAACGATGAAATAGCGACCTCATGAAGGGCTGCAGGGGACCCATCCTCCTCCCTTTGAGATAGATCCCGAGTCCCAGACTGGTTTCAAATGCTTGACCTGGGGTTTTGTTGTGCAGAATCCTGAATCCTCAGTAAGACAATGGCGGTTTGGTAAAAATGATAAAATCGGAAACACGTACGTGGGACGAGCCAGCAAAAAATTCCCGGCCTTGTTTCCCGGAGAACTGGTCATCTGACCGTGAGCGAGGCATGGTTTCGTGTTTTGAACGTCTCTGGCCAGACACGTGCCCCACGTGCCATGCCCGGTGCCAACGGAAAGGTGATCTGAAAGTGTACGTCGGCGAGCTCGCAGAAAACCATCTCTTGTAGATGTGCCCAAATGGTTCAACGATTCGTTTTCAGGTTCCATGTGAGTTTCTACGAAAGTGCTCGGCCACCATCAACGAACCCTGCTTCAAAAGAACGCAGCTTTTCCAAGCAGCTACCACAAGTCTTCATATGTAGAAAATTCATCCAAAAATGCAACAACGAGGCACTACTCACTACTCTGAAGATCTCCTGAACTTCCAAATTCTGAAGTTTACGGGTCGCTCTCGATTTCTGGGTCCCATGGCCCATCGTTTTCGGCAGGCCATTCCTCTGCAAATCCTGGGTGTCTAACCTGCCCAGTCGAGCCACAGAGGTCTGTCGAGCAGATCGTCCGGCTTTGCGGGCGAATGACAGGATTCGCCCGAATTAGTGAGATAGGAGTTGTGGGCCACTGCGAAGTCATCACAAAGTGGACAAGGGATTTTCCAGTCTAAACTCACCTCTTCAGATAACACCAGGATTGAACCAAGATAGACCCTCAGAAACGGTAGGTTCAACACCTGGACCTTCCTGAAAAATATCCTATAGCCGGCCTCTGTAGTCATACAGGGGTCCCGAAAAAGTCTGGCCATTTGTGAGCAGGGACCCGCTCGAGCTTTGTTGCACAGAGACGAACCTGCTGACATGAATGTGATGGGAATGTGACGAACTTCGCATTCTATGCAGCATCGCTGAGTTTAACAGGTTGCACTCAAAACACCCGACCCACCAACCCACCAATAGCCATTTGGAAAATACAGAACATGAATGATGAGTGAAACCGCTCCGAAACCAACCTCCGATACTTAATCCGCACACATTTCATGATGCAACATGTATATACAACCACTATACTTTGTAGTGGTCTTTACCGAACAACCGCACAAGTCCGAAAGTCACCGACCTAGCAGAGCGAGATCTTTTCCCAACAACGGTTGAACTCTTTTCCCGGTTGTTGCTTCATACCTACGGACCTATCGATGACGAGTGGGACAAGGGTCACGAGAAGCATTTTCGCCGGATTCTTGTGCAGAACCTACAGTGAGCCTACGGCGCGAGTTCCGCACAAGAAAGGCAGATTATGTATGGCCTCTACATGCCATGGAATGCATTGAAACACATGTCAAGAGTTTCTAATCTTCATGTCAGACTAATTTCTGAAAGGAATTCTTCGTCCCTGTCCTCAGTGCCTCAGCAAAGGGTTCCCTGCACGTAGTTTTTGCACTTGTTTCATCAGGTCAAAATGGACTGCTGCAAGCAACTACCTGGAAAAACAATTGCCTATAGCAAATGCCTACGACAAACCAGTGCATCAAAATGCCTACGGGGAGTCTACGTCCACAAGCAGAATGCCTACGCCAGACGTTTGATCACCTTTTGTGATGTCAATGTTTGTATAAATCCTTTCATCTTAAAAAGGAACTCTGCTCCATTGTTTTACTGAGGATTGTACACTACAAAACCAGGTCAACCATTTTTAACATGGTCTGTGAAGCCATCAGGGTATAGCTATGCTAAACGTATCTAAACGTTGTAAACCATCCCCCGTGCCATGCACCATGCGCCAAGGTTCCCCTCCGTGCCCTGCACCCTTTTTTTCCCACCCCTCCGTGCTTACCCGACCCCGACCATGCGCGGCTTCCCCGACCCTCCGTGTGCTCCGTGTGCTCCGACCCTCGAAAGGCCTCTCCCAGGTCACCGAGCGAAAGCGTCCCTTGGTGACCAGTTGCACCTGCCGACGTGTGCCACCCGACGCGAGAGGCTACGGGTCGATAGGGTCGATAGGGTCGGCGGAGTCGGCGAGCTCGGTGGGCGTTAGATGGGTCGGCTGGGGAAAGCAGAAGAACGTGGCAGTTGGATTGAAGGTTCGTTAGCTTTGAGTGCCAAAAAATTGCCTTGCTCTTTTGGACATCTTTCTTGGAGATGATATGGCGTGATGATGCTATGCTATGTGACTCGGTGTTTGTTGCAGATGGAATCTGCTTATAAGCATCTATTGGAGATGTACGGTGAATGAGAGCGGCTCCCGTGCCGCTGGCGGACGTTTGGAGTGAACTGGTCTCACTTGGGGCTGTTGAAATTTCACCACGAGCTGGCATATTCTGGCCTTCCCCTACAAGCTCAGCCTGGAGCTTGACGAATCACTGGTCCTCAATTGAAAAGGGTGGAAAAAAATCAGCAACTTCCAAGACTCGCAAAACGAAGAAAAGCAACGCCCCAAACATGTCCATCAACCCAAGCAACCAAAACAAGATATAGAAAAAGGCCCTTCAACCAATGGTCGACCCGGTCTTCAAACAAAGGACCCTTCTGAAGGCGTCACCTCCCAGGCGTTGTCAAAGGTCACGTCGACGTCGACGTCGGGACTCGACGTCCCGGGGCCTTGAATTGATCGCCCGGGACTCCCTCGTCGGGATACCTGGCGATCGAGTTCCTTCGAACCGAACGCATCGTGACACGCGCGGGATCTTCCGATTGAAACGATGCCCGTTTTCACCGATCGAAACGTTTTGAAAAAAGAAAAGAATATTCTGGAAAGGTGGCGTAAAGCAGAGAGAATGTCACTCCCCTACACTCAATTGTTTGTTGAAAAAGCCCAAGAAATCCGGACATCAAACCCAAACAGGTGACTTCAAAAACTCATCTCAACTGGTCCACGAATTTTGCGGGTGAAAGTTTGCTGCTCAGTTTTCAGTTTGCTGAGCTGCTGATTCGGCTCTTGTCATCATGGCATCACGTTACTTCATGAATGTTGATTCCGGTGCACAACAGGCACTGCTGATGGGCAAAACTGTGAGCCACCTACCAACCCCTTGGAGACCTAATCAACTCTATTTTCAGAAGCTGGACCCGTTCAGCGAGCTGTTGGGCCAAAGACCTGCAAACGGCTCAGTCGCCTCTCGGAACAGCGGAACAGCGACCAACGAGTCTACCGCCTCTCTTCAGTCTTGCCAGGTCGAGTATCGATACACCAGCCAAAGGTGGCCACCTGCGGCAAAAAGTGAGGGGAGTCTTAAGTGGCAGGGAGTCTTGCGTGCTTAGTAGGGAATGAGGGAATGAGGGAGTGCTTCGCCCCAAGAGATGCAAAGCCTCAGGATCCAGAGATGCCACATGGGTTGCCTTAGGATCCATTCCTTGAAATTCCTTACTAAGCACGAGTCACCAGGTAAGGATTTACGCCCAGCTTGAGGCTCACAGAAGCTCATAGAACCAGAACCTCACGGGTGTTCTGCAGGACGAGGGTGTAGATGAAGTTTGCAGAGGGATGGTGCAAAGAACAACGGTCAGCAAAGAGCATGGGACTTGGGGTGAGTCACCATAATATAAGTTTGGTAAGAGTTCTGGTTCATCTCCACGACACCCCGTTTGCCGCTTCGCAGCAGGTCTAGGAAGGTTGAATGAGGTGAAGATACCAAAGACTCTGAAAATTAAAAGACAGGTGAGACAGGTGAGACAGGTGAGAGTGAACGTTCTGGCGTAATCCACATGTTTGGAGACTCCGGTGTCAAACTGGTGGAGCTGGTTTTAGAGTATTTTGGAACCAACGGTTCACTGGAAAACCCTTGCAGACCTAAGACGATGCGAAAAGCTTCGGACTGTTCTCGGAGTGAACGTTTATAGGCTGGGAGAGCCAGGACCTTGGGATCTTGCCAGTGATGAGGGCGGGCGCCCTTTGATGTTCTTTTAGTCACATCCAAGTGGGAAACTGCAAGCCAGTATTAACTATGAATGCTATGGTTATATAAAACTCATGCCAAGTGATCCCTGCTTTCGAGATACGATGGTGGTGACCTCTGCATCAGGATCAGGCCAGATTAGGGAAGCACAAAACTTCAAGATCTGCATACTGATTTCCCTAAAGGCAGGCAACTATGAATGTTGGGTGAAAATCTGGGTGGGGCCTAGGCCTAGAGCAACATACTTTTCTCGAAGTCAAAACAGCATGCCGAAATCTTGTGTGGGGTCATGTGATTGGGAATCTCTCAATTTGTTTTTGCTCTGTTGTTTCAACTGGGAATGGTGCAGGTTGAGGTCGGCTAGGTATTTCGTGTTTGGATGAGCTGGTCAGAATGCCAAAGCTGAGCACGGTGAACGAAGTCATGAATGTGGTCGTTATCTGTTTGTCTTGCACGGACTCCGGCCATATCTGCCCACAATGTTCCCCACCGCGTCATCTTTATCAACTAGAAGGTCGTTTGCTACATGGTGGACGTTGGGGCTCCAAGTTGAACGACCTATCCCCATATGAGTATCTTTCGGCTCACAGACCACTGCCTCTCTCAGGATCCTATGGCGGCTTGGGTCACAGAATCATTGGGAAGCTGCCAAAACATGGAGATTTGAAACACTGATGGTTGTGTCGAAACAACACCCAAGAAAACACCAGCTACGAAAGTGGGCTTTGGCCAGAAACTCGCACCCTCTTAATTAAGCTGTTTTCTTCAAAACGGCCCAAGAATTGGGACACAAAGGAAAGTTCCCTCTCCCTTCCAACACCGAAGTCTCTGTTAAAAAGAACACCCTTCAGCCTCATCCGTTTTGGGATGCGAACGTCGACGTCGACCATCCGGCGCATGCTCCGAACGCGTCGCCTGACGATAGTGATGTGGCCCCTGGACCTTGGCAGTACTGAGTCCCCTCGGCACCGCCGGATGCAAGATCCGCTCGCGCTCGCCTCGGCGGATCAGGGGTGCCGAGAGCCGAGAGCAAAACCGGAACAGACTTTTCTTTGAAGAATGCTTTTCTGATTTGTTGGTAGGAACAGAAGATAAAATAAGAATCATACGAATACAGAAAGAAAATCAGGGTGAAACTCGGTGTTTCACCTGATGTGACCTACCTCGCCAATTCATTTACACCTATACTCGCAAGACCCAAAAATGATGGTGTTCCCCACAATAAAGGGGGCAACTATGCGCTCTCCAAATTCAGCTGATGGGTTTGACCAACTCTGCAAAATTCTCCCGACCCCAATTGGGCGCTTTGGGGCCGAACTCAACCCAGGCGCCTTCCAACTAAAACCTTTAGTACAAAAGCTGGCTCTTCTGCATCCAGGCTACTACTTAAAAATGATGTCTTCTCGATAGGAATCCTGGTGGGCCCTCAAAGTCCACTGATTCCTGAACCAGAACCTGCTGGCGAAGGTTGCTTGCCCTCCCAGAAACAATCATAGAGGTGGACAACCCCCTGTTTGTAGAGGAAAATCGTATTCCAGGAGGCCGTGGTTATTGTTGGGAGGGTCGTCCTCGCTGTGTGTCCTCCGCGATTCCGCCGCGTACGGCGGTCTGAACCCGCGGTCTGAACCGGCGGCTGCTTGGCGGGGAAGCGCCCCGCCCTTCGCAGCGAGAATAGCAAAGGGGGTGGCATCCTGGACACATTTTTGAGAACCCCCCCCTCTAGCAGATCGTCCGTCCATCCAGAAGTGTGACCCGAAAATCAGGGCTTTGGTCTTGGCTTTTTGTAAAGCTCCAAGCTCATCGAAGCACCATTCTCCGTGTGTTCTTCAATTGGTTGCACATGTTTTGGAGGCAACGGTCGCTCTCTCTCGCTCACCATTGGTTCAAGTCGCCATCGAGCCAGATCTGAAACCACTCGCAGCCGTGCTCGCCCAGGGTGACCACGAAGCTGAACCTCACCGAAAAACCACGGGTGTTCCATCCCAAGAACAGGTGGATGGAGCGGTGGAGCATATGGTTGTGCAGTAGTATGAAGGATCTATGCTATTAACAGTAACGGTGGATGATGATGGTTAGTGAAGGCCTTGTTCCAAATAGTGATTTGCTTGTGAAACCTGACTGTGATACTGTGAATAGGAACAGACCGAGTTCAAACCCGAACGTCGGGAGATCCCTTAAGGCACTGGCTGGCTAGACTGGTCTATTGTCCGAACCTTCCAGAGGATGCACTCATATGGAGGGACTGTCGACCGATTCCGGCGACTGAGGGCGACAAGGCACGGTGGCACGGCTTTTTCCGCTGTGTAAGCTGGTGTGAAGCCTGTGTGAAGCCGGTGTTCACCCCCATGAGTTTCAATGGGTGGACAGATGTTTCATGAAGTTCTGATCAAGATGTTTCCGAACCAATTGCCTAGGCTTTGGATCTCCCCTCGCTGGGCCCCCAAGCTGGTCCAGGCCCTCTCCTCTCATCTGCTGTGGAGTATCCATCAGTGACCACGAACCCACGATGCTGCATCCTGGCCACGAAGCCCACACAGCTTTGTTCGAAAAGCGTCTGAAGCACCCGGACATGTAAAGCATCTAAGTGATTTGCAAGCACTCCAAGCACAATTCTCTGGCTCATACTGGAACGCCTGTGAAGCCTCAGGAGCTCCAAGTCTCCTGCTCCAAGTCTCTAGGACTCTAGGAGCTCCACCCGATCTCTTTCACCACCACCACCACCACCACCCGCTCTTGGGTTGGAGGCCATCCCGCTCTCGCGCTCGCTCTCTCTCTCTCTCTCTCTCTCTCGCGACCCGCTCGCGACCCCCACGACCGGCCTCGCCGGGGCTCACAAATGGGGTCCAAATCCCCTCCGCCGCCCGGCCAGAAGGTCAAGACATCCTGTGGAGCATTCAACGACCAACGTTCCCGGTGTTCGCCGTCGTTGGTTTTTCACCGCACGGGGAAGCTCAACTAAGCAGAGCTGAACGAACTAGATCTGGTCCAAACAAAGGTGGCCCAAAAGACTACTGGCCACCCTGAGTGACCCAAAAAGCACACCCTGGATAGATGCAAGTGGCATGGACCCGAATGCGGCACCTGTTCTGCTGCACTCGAAACGTCTGACGCAGGAAGGCCTAAAACAGGTGAATCTGCAAAAAGAACCCAAGCGTGGTCAAGCAGCGTGTAGCATTGATGTATACTCCCCGAAAGGCTCTTGGTGAACACATGGAATCCTTAATCAGATCGAAGGGGGGTTGAATTCGGACGCGGACCTGGTCCAAGGGCTGAGCTGAGGATTTCGAAGACCGAAGGCTGAGCTCTGATTTGCCAAGAGATGGCCAAACGCTGGCGTTTTTCTCCGGCCCTTGCAATTCAGAAAGATCAAAGATCTCTAGAATTGAATTCATCAAGTTTCGCAGCGAAACGATGAAACTGCGCCTCTGCCTGGACAGGATTCTCCATCTTCACTTGCCTGGAGCACTGATCCGCTTCCCTCGTGCCCGGCGATTTCGGGTTTTCATCGACGTTTGGTTTCAGGCGATTTGGTGTTTCGTCGATGAAGTCTGCAGAACGAAAGAAGTGTTTGGCCACCAGTGGGACCAAACAAGCTGCCTTCCTCTTTTGGAAGTCTCGAGGGTATAGGAGGCTACCAATAGTTTGTAGTACAAACTAAGCTTAAGCCATTCCCACAGTGGGAGCCTTGCCAAACCCTCGCGCCTAGCACACGCCTTGCCCCAGAGGATGGAATGTGCCTGCACATGGGAGGACTCCGCCCAGCTAATGAGTGTTTGATCTGAATGGAAAAATATTGGGATCAATCAGCTCAGTACTGCAGGTCAAACTAGACCCAAAGGCTCAAAGCGGTTCTTGGATGTTTGGAACGCTTGCAGACACCAGTGCCCTCCTTGTATTGGTGGGATGAAGTGTGTGCAAAGCATCTTGTAAACCACCTGCTATAGAGTAGAGAAGAATAATTGCATCGGCCACTTTCTATCGACGTGAACCCATGCCCTGAGTTGTCTCAGCGTGATGAAAACCACTGAGGAGCTGCTGTGGCCCTACAAAGATTCGCTGTTGAACCTTTTCTCACCAAGATTCTCGTGCACCTATAGCCTTTGAGCTCAATGTCGGTTGCACTTGCCGAGAATGGCCACAGCCACAGCTCTCGGCAGAACAAGGGCCAACACGGATTGGCCCCTGGCTTGTGATCTGCGAACAGCTTTGGACCAAACATTGAGACACTTACCATCACCCAACCAATGCCAACAAACCCAGGTCTGGTCAGAGCTAGCTCTATGCTGATCTGAATCCATTCCCGGACATGGAGCGGCGGAATGGAAAGTCAAATCCACTTGGGACCGTTCCGGCCCCTCCGCGCCGGCGCGCCGGCCCAACGCCCGCCCAACGCCCGTTGTCCGGTCCACCGGTCGTCCTGTCCACCGGGGGGTCCCCGGTCGCACGTTGGAGCCGCCAATGCCGCTCGCCGTGCAGGCCACGAAGGCGGACACCATGCGGTGATGCCTCGGCGAGACCGATGGAGACGGGTGGAGACGGGATGCTTCGTTCGATGGAAACGGCGGGGAGATCGGACCTTTGGCGATGAAACAGGTAGAGATGAGAAGGGGATCGACTTTGGAGGACCTTTGGCTGATTCCACAACTTCGGGGTTGCAGGGGCCCTCCACTGGATTTCAAAACCCACGGCCATCACTTGGAGGATTCCACTAGATGAAGCTACAACTTGCTTTGTTGACGATCATTCTTGGAACCCATTCAGCTTGTTGCTCTTTGTAAAGACAGAACAAGTTGGACCACCAACAACCTTCACTTCTACATGAGAGTTGCGGAGAATGTTCACCACCAGGTTCAATCTTCACCACCTGATCTGACATGGGTCTATTGAACCTCAAACATGACTGCTCTGGCGGCCAGTTTGGGCAGTGAACAATCCGCTCTTCTATCAGGAGGCCTTGGAGGTGTTTCGATGATTTCAGAGTGGTTGCTTGTTGTTCTGGACCCTATAGAGTCTTTCCGTCAAAGTCCAACGTGTCCGCCTCCAGTTGGCTCTGATCAACTTCAAGCGATTGATCGTGGCTGGGAGCTGAATCCACTGGTGCTTACGAAACATGAAACCGCCAATGAAACCATTGAATTGAGGGTGGAAAGCCCGCCGGACTCCACGATGGTCAATGCTCACTGGGTGAAGTTTTGGATCAAACCTCTCACAAGTCCACCGCGAGGTGGGCCAGAGCAGAATTCACGGAGCCGCCTCAAAACTTTATCCCAGCCAAAGACCTAACGGTTGTCCTTCTGTCAGCAGAAGCTCCATGGAGTTGTCTACAACAACGATGATCTTTGATCTTAGGATCCCTTTCTCCATGCCAATGCCAATGTTGATTCTTACCTGAACATGTCCAAAACGCTTGCCTTTTTGCAGGTTCTTCTTACACTACGGCTTTTCAGACCCCCAAACGAGCGAAGCCTCACTGGGGTGTCGACACGGGTTCCGTCACGAAGAAGCTGGGCACCTCATCCTGAGCTGATCCGCTTCCAACGACACGATGTAAGAGAAGACTCCGTGCGGTCACGACAAGGAGTAGGGCGCTCGGGTCCCCTGTGCCATTTTCCTGGATGGCTGGATCACCGGGAGGGGCTTTTTGGGGCTCAAGTCCTACATGTTCGCGGCTCCAACATGGGTGGTGTTTGGGTCATGTCCAGCTTCGAGGCTTATCCTAAGTCGGTCCATGGGGGTCATTTGGTGCCTGTCGATTGACCTCTGTGACCTCAACGTCTTGTGTGGGGACCCACCAATCACCAACCAAAGACCCGGTGTCCTCAACCGCACTCCAGGGCACTCCATTCTGGCTGCGGAGTTACAAAGGACTTTCCAACTCATTCTTGCATTTAGTGTCTACAACATGAGGAGATAAAGACCCACTTAGTGATTTGGGTGCGTTGGATTTTTCCTCATTCCCTTTTCGCGTCGTTCCTGCCAAAGAACGGTTCACTTCGGGAGGGCGGATTAGAACTGCTTGGTGCCAGGAACGCAACTGCTGATGCTGTTTCTTGGCTACCTATCCGATCTAGACCTTGGCCTTTGAAAAGCAAGAACATGATGATCACATAGGATCACGGCCATGAGAACAAAGACCATGAACCCAAGTGCTTCGCCACGTTCCTTGGTTCCTCCGCCCGGATTCGCCGAGTTCACGACCGACGTGGCGGTTTTTCCTTCTTTCGAAGCGGCCATGGCCAGCACGTGCGGGTTCATTTTGTGCAAGTGAAGCGAAGGAGGCATGCAGCCCATGGCCTCCCAACGACGGGTCCAACAGAACCTGCGGGTTCCGTTGTAAAACGGCCACCGTTTCTCGCCTTTCTGCGGCGAAGACGAAAGCGACGAAAGCGTGACCTGTTGGATGCTGCTACAGTAAAGACTATCCACCCCTAAAAACTATCTATCCCCATAAACCTCGGATGTAGGCAAGTGCTGTGTCCAGCACCAAATGCATTACTCAACAAAGGCTGTGTCAAAAATGGATGGAACAACAATCGATAAGACAACGTCTGCTGCTTTGCCCCAAAAGTTAAACAGGACATTCATCCCGTAATGCGGTCTGATGATCGAAAGAATGCCTCAACCGGACTTCCACCTCCCCATTACTCACAATGGCTCATGACAATAGCTCCAAAGATCACATCCAAAGAGCCGACACCAAGAGGGCTCCCACCTCCATGGCAACATGTGACTATAGACTTGTTTTGGCCCACCATTAGCCCCTAGCATCCCTAGCCCTCCCGTTTTTGGGTCACAACCAGGGGGGTAGTCACGCGGCGTCAAAAACGTGTAGCGGCGACCCTCCCCCACACTGCCAGACCGTGCGTGCTCCCGTCCTGTCCCACAATGACCCGAAGCAAGGCAGCACATCCCATGGCCGGACGCATATTGCCTCGGAGCCGCGAACCGCCGGGCTGGGTGGAAGAGACGGACGAAGGGCTTGGGCTGGGTGGTTGGGTTCGGTGGTCAAGAGGGGCCTCGTGGTCAAGGTCGTTGCCTCGCGTCTACAGGCTCTAAAGACGCACGGTCCAGAACCACCTCCGGTCCAGCTTGTGAGGTCAAATGGTGAACAGTGTGAGATTGCCTTCCTTTCCAAACCACTCGATCGAGATATAATTGTTCCATCTGCTTGCACTTTTCCCATGCTCTTTAGGTTCAGTTTACAGAAAGGCCTTGTGACATACAGATTCTGGCCCTTGCTTCGTCAAGAGAAGTCGCTGTTCTCGGGAGCGATTTGCTCAGTCATAGGCCCTATGACAGCTTCTTCCCTCCTTCGCATGTGTCGGGAAACCCGTTCCTCTTTCCTTTCACAGCTACTCTGTTGTGGAGTTGTGGACTGTCCGCTTCCCATGGCTCAGTTGGATCGGTCTGCAAGTTCCCAGGGTCCACCAAACACCATCTGATGCTCCGTCCGATGTCCTCGCGAAGTCGCAGGTCCAGCCGGCTTGGCTTTGTTTGTGAGCAGCCAGGGCGGCCCCTCTCCCTCTCCTCCGTCTAGTGTTTCGCTCGCTGAAGAGACTTGACAACCAAAACAACTGAAACTGGAGGAGTTCTCAACGGTCCGGCAGGCGACGCCTTATCGCTGGTAGGGTCGGAGGCCATCGCTATGAGGTTGGAGGCCATCCCTAGTGTGTTGGAGGCCAACGTTGGTAGGTTGGAGGCCATCGCTAGTAGGTTGGAGGCCATTGCTATTGGAAACAAAGAATAATTCGAGAAAACCGAACTTCTATCGAATCGTTGGATTGCCACCAGGTGCTCCGGCCAAAATACTCACCCAGTGTTTAAGCCATGTTGGATTTCTTATTGGAACTGGGGATTCGGTCTCCAGCTGTCCGAAGCTCCCACAACCTGAGAGTTCAATGGCTCAAATCCGTCAAGGTCATCCAGGTGATCGCCTCTCTCTCTCTCTCTCTCTGGCTTCAAGTGGCCCAGGTTGGTCTTCGCAGACATCAGGCCCAACATCTCCTCCTCTGCACCCTGGCGCAGCGGCGTTGCGCCGTCCGGGGGGGTGTGGACCGGTCTAACCGGTGGTGTTACGGTGTGCAGCACCTGTCTTGGAGGTTTTGGTGGCAGGCAGTGAAGCACTCCTGAGAGAATCATGCAAGTAGAAAACCACATCTGAATACCAAAAGGTTGGTGAAATCCACGGAACCGTGATTCTTTCAGGAGTGTATACTTCACACCATGGTCGTACGAACCTGGAGAATAACCCCATGGTGGGCCCGGGCGCAGAAGAAACCTGGAGAATCACTTGGGATAAGACTGCGGGTACGAGACGTGGCGCTTGGTCAACTAGCAGGCAGCAGGACACCACCTTCTTTTGGAACGAACATGGCTTCTCTCTAGAAGCCTGGTGTTTATCACGCAGAAGAAACAGAACGACCTCTGGATCAACCTCCACACCCTGGACGAGTGACTGAGTGTCGATGTGTCGTGACGGAACATGAGGTTCACCTGTCCAGCATCCATCTACCTCCACGTCTCTCGCGGCGCGACGTCTCGCGGCGTCGAGACGCCAAGGCGTCTCTTGACCACGGTCGGTCCCAGTGCTGATGGATCCTTTGAGTCTCAGTGCTGAGTGGGCCTTGGAACAAGGTCGGGGTGGCCAAGGCCCACCCGTTGACCGTTGACCGTTGACCACGTGTTCGTTGACGCCTGGAAGTTCCGCCTGGATCTGATGTACCCTTGGCTCATGGAATTGCTTCAGAGTGGAGTGCAACTCCAAGTCCGCGTCTTCCTTGTACCAAATTGTCCCACAAAAGTAAAAGTCCGATATTCAAACCTTTGATGAAAACATGCTGCGCTCGTTCATGCACCATTGGTCTATTGCGTCTATTCCATTGTCGTTCTCAACAGGCTGGCCCAAAAATCCCACCAATCTTCCAAGGAAGAACCGAACGAGATCTCGAGATCTGCGTGTCCTTTCGAAGTCTCAAAGCGTTTTCCTCTCCAACGGGATCTCCGGGAGCCGTCTCACGGCTCACCAGACCGGAGGCAGGACCCGTCCGGCTCCCGTCCTCGTGCATCGCCAGGGACCGGTAAGCTCGGGTCAAGGCTGTGGCCTGAGCTTCGTCAAGTGACTGCATGGTCTGCCGAGCAGGGACTGCATGGTCGTCGCGAGTCGCTGCGTTTTCATGTTGGCCTCCACGGCATCACTCAAGACATTGCCAGCGGCTTGGCACCTGGAGACGGTGCTGCGAAGGTTTTTATGTGAGTTTCTGTGTATGTGTATATACATCTGTATCTATATATTTGTTTTTATTTGTTAGATATGCTGTATGCATATATATATATATGCTACTGGCACCCCCCAAGGCCAACCCTTGGCATCGTGTTCACTGTTGTAATCAGTGAGACTGTGGCCCACAGATTGATGTACAGAAGATACCTAGGCATATCCAAAACACATCCTCAAATTCACTGGTACCTTTCCAGCAAATATAACTATATATATACTGACAGAGCAGTACTATGAATATACACTTGCTGATGTATAAACTATTCTGCATGAAAATGTTCAATACAGGCAACGCAGTAGATATAGTTTTCAGGACTGATTGCGCAGGTTGTGCTACTCGGGAAATCTCCCAGATACTTTACTGGTATTACATAGTTTCTCTTAATGTCCTTTGGATAATCAACAAACATACTGATATTAGATTCAGTTCCAAGTGAGGTTTCTTTTAAATCATATACTCTATATAATCAATTGAATTATTGATGTGTAATGACCCCTTTCCAAATGGCTAGGAATTCAGTTTAACTATTTGATGTTTAGCTTGTGTCCAACTAAATCTATATATGTCAAAAAGTGGTGGTGAAATATTCTTGTTTAATGTGGATCAAAAATCAATTAAACGATAGAGTTGCATGTGTGTTCTTGGTTCCAATCAAAAGTCCTGAAGAATATGTTGAAAATCGGTGAACATAGTCTTTTTTTAATATATGTGTCCAATCAAAAAGCCATCGTTTACAAACATGAAAACATTGACTGTGACAAACATATCATAAATGGTTGATAAATTGAATATTGATGCGTAATAACATCTCTTGGGACCCATTCAAACTCAAATAATTGGATATAAAATGTTTTCAAGCAACATGTCTTTTAAGATCATGATATTAAATCAATTAAAACATTGATTCGTAATAGCCACTATCAAGACCTTTGTTTTACAATCAATAAACGATTGATGTTGAGCCGGTGTCCACTTCAAACCTTGTAGATTCTTTTCAATCTGTTTCGAACAACATCTGTTTGAACATATTGCTAGAAAGTAAGCTAAACCATTGATTTTGAGTTGATTTAAAATTGATAACCCTTGTAGAATCCTCTTAACCTCAACCAATATATATATATATGGTTAATGTGTTTCTATTTATATAAATTGATTGAAAACCAGTCCGACTATAAGTCAAAAAAAGGATGTTTGATTTGTATGATTGACTGTCATTCTTTGCGCCAATTAACGTCCTTTAATCAAGCATGTTAGCTCTTTAATGAGTTCAAGTTTTGATGTTGTTGTTGTTGGTGTTGTCGTCCAATTCCAATATCTTTAAATTCTTTTCTAAAAGCAATCAATTTATTGATGTTCGACCAACTGCCTTTGCAAGACAGAGTGACTAATCCGGGTGGATTGAACACAAAATGGCTAAACTGGATGGCACCATAAAGTGTGTCTTCTTGCCACAACCGCAATAACCTCAAATCACATTCAACTGTTTTCTGTTGCGAAGCCATGCGCAAGAAACATAAGTGATACGATGCTTGACAGGCCATGAGCAGAAGTATGAATGATAGACATGAAATGTTTAAGGATGCAGAGGCTGCGTAGCAGTATGATAACAAAACAAGACCAACCATGTGTAAAGCAGGATTATGGACAATGCTTGCTAACAGCTGATTGAGAATTAAAAGCCGCCAAAAACAGCGGCTTTAAGCGCCAAAAAGCTTACTCAAACGACTAGCAGCTTGGAGGAATCCCTAAAGACTCATGGTCGTTCCGAATTGGGGGCCTTTTCTGGTCGGGATGTACCCGAACCCGAGGCCCGCTGCTCGTCCGCTCCTTCCAACCCATGCGGTTTGAGAACCGTTCGATCCTTCGAGACGGTTCGGAATCAACGAAAGGTGTGAAATAACGGAAAGAATTCGGAGAATGGTGTGAAATAAATGAAATATTGGGATGATAGAGTTACTATATCTATATAATTCGATAACTATATATATTCTCTTCTATCTATCTATATACATAGACTTTATAGAGAGAGAGACTGTGTGAGAGAGAAGAAAAGAGAAAGTGGGAGAGAAATACATTTGTGATGTACCTCCACCTATTCTCAGTCAATAAGCAAAGAACAAAAGTATGACAATGATTGGATCAACACAGTGTGACAGTGTGACGAAACACTGTAAATACCTGTGAACTGTTATTAAAGTTTGGTCTTGAGAGGGGGGTGGTACCATAAAGATATCTGTGGTGGACAGGACGGTATTTGTATGTATATGTATATACCTCTCGCGCACGGGAAATTGGCACCCCAGTCGCAAAGCTGGGAAGTGCTTTGAGTGAGAACATGTCGAGAACCTTCTTGGAAGATGGAAGGCTATGCCCAGGTGACAAGAACGAGAAGATTGTATATACCCTGTAGAAGATGTGAAGTTGGTGGGCATGCCTATAGAACTTGTCCATCAACCACTTAGTACCTTCAACGAATCCGTGTGAGGAGACTCGAACTGCGAAAAAAGACGGATCCCTCGACGGGTCGTCACCCCTTTTCTGAAAAAAGAAAACCGGACGAGGCACTCCACGGCATCTACGTCCAAAGGTGAAAGGTCAGCATTCCGCAAACAGTTGGCCACCAGCTCCTGCAAGTGCGTCTTGGGAGTTTGGGCATGGGTGCTCCATCATGGAAGTTTGCAAAAAACGCAAAAACACATTGGTCGTTTGGTTGTTTGGGTGGGTGGGCCAGGGTGTAGTAGGTTGATGTGCAAATGATCCAAACTAGTCTGTTGACTTGTCAAGAAACCTGACTGAACTGATTGTCCTATGAGAAATACTGACGGGGAACCCTTTTTTTTTAACCCCCCAACCTCTTTTTTTTAACCTACCACCTTTTTTTCAACCCCCCTACCCTTTTTTTTAACACCCAACCACTTTTTTCTAACCCCCAACATCTCTTTTTTAACCCCCCAACCTTGTTTTTTTAACCCCCGACCTTTCTTTTTTAACCCCCAACCTCTTTTGGACACCCGGCCCTTACTTTTTGAGAGCTGGAGGGGGGGTTGTCGTTGTCGTTGTCGTTGTGGTTGTGGTTGTGGTTGTGGTTGGTGTTGCTGTTGTTGTTGTTGTTGTTGGTGGTGGTGGTGGTGGTGGTTTTGTTGTTGTTGTTGTTGTTGTTGTTGGATTTGTTGAAGCCCCTTTGTAATCAAGGATGCTGAGGATCATCCTGACGCGTCTTCGACCGTGACTCGCGTACATGCAGTGGCTGGCGGCGTGGCTAGTGCTGACGACACTTTTTCTGCTGCAACCGCTGCCTGCGCGGCCCATTGGACCTGGCACGCTCTTGCGCGGCCACCGTCGCATTGAAGCAACCTTGGGTCGGTTGAATCGCACCTTGATCCCCACTTGTTTCCTTGGAAATCCACAACCGTGGTCCCAAGTCCACGGGCTGGGTAGCCTTGCTTCGATTTCTTCTTGTTGGAATCTTACTCCCAGTAGGGGCGAGGGTTGGGTGAGGGCCATGCCTCACCTGAGAGCAAAGACCTCCATTCGCTCGATAGACGACGATGCATCCTCTGCGAAAATCCATGGCATCGGGCCGGTTTGTTGGGGGACCTTCAAAAGAATGCACCCCCACTCGAAGCGCAGCTTTCGTAGGGCCAAAGGCCGAGCTCTTCGTAACGGTTTTACCTGGTATCGAGGTAAGCTTCTAGATAGAGCTCAACTTGGATGCTCTGAGCCTTCTTCGTCGATTGCACCACCCATCAAATCGACACAGCCTCGCTCCGTTCCGCGCGACCTCAGGAAGCGGATACATGTCCTGGCATGGAATAGCACGGGCCTGGCAGCTTGGAAATTGGATGAACTTCGATACTGGCTGGCTGAGCAACCCTTTCAAGTGGTGCTCATCTCTGAGACTCGCTGGCAGTTTGATCGTGAATGGATTGAAGGTGGCTGGATCCACATTGCATGCAGTGGAGAACCGTTTCGATCATGTGGCATGCTCTTTATGATTCGCACCACCCTCTGTCAGCAAAGTCAAGTCAGTTGGAGGTCGATTGTTGCTGGTCGCCTGATTCATGTTCGGCTATACTTAGATAGGCCTCTTGACCTGATTGGCTGCTATCAACATGTTTATGTCAATAAATACTCTTGTAAGCAGAACAGAATGCATTGGATTCGCTCACTTGATTCTCTTCTCCATGAAATCCCTAACCGGAATAACCTTGTGTTACTTGGAGATTGGAACTGTGGCCTCCCACAATCCAGGCCTCACATTGGAACTTCTGACTTCCTGAGTTCGACTGGCCGCCAACTGGTCTCATTACATGAGGACTGGAACAAACACCTTGAACTTGTTCGAACACATGATTTGTGTGCCATCAACACTTGGCGACAAGACACTGGACCTACCTGTCAAACTGCCAAGGGTGATCTGTCACGAATTGACTACATTTTTGTACGGACTCGTCAAACGGATAGAGAAACGCTTGAATGTATGCCTTTGGAATCATTTGATCTTCTGGGTACTGCAAAAATAGGCCCCCGTCCTTTGATTGGTTCATTAAATCTTGCTTGGCGTCCTTCATCTGGAGCGGCGCTGAATCGCATCACGTACCAAAGTCGTGTCATGTGTAGATCTGCACAACAGGACCCTGTTCGATGGAGCACCTTTCTCACTGCCAACACGGCAATTTTGACTGAGGCCCGCTGGACTGATGTGCATGATGTTCGACACACACAGGATCGCCTCACATCAAACTTTCAACAGATGTTTAATCGTCAGAAAGCTGTTGAGGCCCCTTGGAATAAAACTAAAGGACTCATGGCCACTAAGTGGGACCTCCTTGCGCAGATTCGTAAACTGACTAGTCCTGGTATTGCTAGCTGCTTCAGATGTTGGCATTTGATCACTGCACATCATAAATGCCATGTACAACAGCAACTGGCATCACGCCAGGCAAGGAAGGATCGATTTGATCTTTTGATCTCAGAGGCTCGTTTTGCAGCCTCTAGACATGACTTGTTTGCTCTACATGCCATTGTTCGGAAGCTCTCACCTAAAGTTGTTCTTCCGAAGATCAACCTCCGAGGGAGTCAAGGGGAGTTGTTGAGTCCGGTTGAGGCCTTTGCACACTTGAAGCATTATGTCTGTACTGCATGGGCTGGCCCTCAACTGCAGTCTCCGACTGGGCTGGCGCCAGGTGTCCCGTTCAGTGAGGATGAACTGACGCGAGCGTTTGCGCGCCTTAATATCATGAAGAGCACTGCACCGGGCACATGTCCCAATGGTTGCTTAAAGGCCATTCCACATGAGACGACTGCTCAACTTTACCCCCTGTTGCAACGTTGGTGGTCACATAACCCCCCTTTCATTCCCCAGCAATGGAAAGACGGATCATTGTTTCTGTTGCCTAAGCCTGGCAAACCTCCTGATACTGCTGCCAACTTGCGGCCTCTTGCGCTCCAAGACCCGTTAGGAACCACGATTCTTGGCCTTCTCACCGCTATTGCCAGGAATAGTGTGTTAGATCAACTGTGTGCACAACATCAATATGCCTACCTTCCCCATCGGGGCACACACGAGGCCATTAGCAGGGCAGCTGACCACTGTCAGAAGGTTCGTGCTCTCCTCCATAGCATGAGGCGACCGCCAAGTCTCAACTCGTCTAATCCAAGTTCGAGTCTGTATGGAGGGCTGACCATCAGCATTGATTTGAAACGAGCTTTTGATAGTCTTCCTAGACCTGACCTCTTTGATGGCCTTCGACAACTAGGAGTGGATGGGGCTTGTGTGACTCTTTTGCAGGAGTGGCATGTTGGAACAAGATACTGGCTTGAACATAAAGGTCATCAAGACCATGTCAGTGTTGCGCTGGGTGTCAGACAGGGATGCCGAGCAGCACCATTTTTGTGGGCAAGTAGCATGTCCAGACTCATGACTCGCCTTGCGGAAAGCACCAGTCCTGAGTGGGTTCTCAAGGTCCTGACCTTATACGCAGATGATTTTCTCCTCCAATGCCAGATCACCTGTGAACAAGATTTGTGGGATCACCTGCACTTTGTTGGGATTTTGTTTGATATTCTGGATACAACAGGATTATCCATGAACCTCACCAAGACTGTGGCCTTGTTACAGATTGCTGGCAAGAAGTTCAAGAAACTTCAATCCCGCGTCCTTGTTGAGCAAGCACACCAATGGTTCTTGCTTGTGCCCCGCTCCAATGGGAACGCCACAAAAATCAAGTTGGTGGCGGACCTCAAATATTTGGGATGCAATCTGAGCTATGGTAACTTTGAAAAACTCACATTGGAGCATAGGGTGGCTGCTGGACTTCAGGCAAATCGACGCCTACATCGATGGCTTTATGGTAAAAAAGGGCTGGACAAAGACCAAAGAAGGAAACTTTGGGAGAGTGTCGTCCGCACAACCATGACGTATGGTATTTGGGCAACTGGCGTGACACTGGCTGGGCTCAAGCGGCTGGTGAGTCTTTTGGTGACCATGCAAAGGATGATCTACATGAATCATTCACATCGGACAAGAGATTCACATACACACTTTTTTCAGCAGAATCAGATTGAGCATCCACTTCAGTTTCTTCACCGCTGCTGTTTGCGCATCCTGACTGGCCATACAGCCAAGCTCGGGCTACGACCTCAGACGGATGTTCTGCACCGGCTCCCGCTTACAGGAACACGATCAATGCTTGAACAGATTGAGCAACTCACCACTGGAGGCCCTGACCTGACGGTGACTTCCGCGGCATTCGAGTGCAGAACGTGTGGAGTGGCGTTCTCAAGCATCCAAGCATTGTTGACTCATGAGGGTAATACACATAGAGTCAAACACAAACGAGTTCAGGCCTTCTCTGCAGTCCGAGACTCTGTGGACGGAACGTCTATTTGCAGGCATTGCCATCATTCGTTTCCATGTTGGAATGCACTTCGAACCCATATTGAACATGCATCATGTCCTCTTTTTGACCCGTTGCAGGTGATGTCGACCTCCCTGGCCAACGCCCGTACCAGTTTGCAGCCACTGATCTTGGAGGTTGATCCCACTGGTCTCAGCCTGAATCCATGCATTGGGGACTACCTCCGAAGTCACTGCATTCTATGTGGAACTCAGCTGCTACGTTTTCAGGACATGACTCATCATTTGGCTTTGGAGCACGCTTCATTGGCCGCCCAAGCTTCTGGATTGTACCAACATTGGCATGGATCTATGTTGTCTCCTTGCACCTTTTGTCATGTGGACTTTGCTCACACACATCATTGCAAGGTACTCTTCCAGCTGATGGTTCTGCGTGCAGAGAGCTTGGCAGGCACAGGTGCCCCGACGCAGCCGCAAGCTCCGATTCCTTCCAATGAGACTTCATCATCACGCACTTCAGCTGATGGTATGATTCCCTTCCAGATTGCAAACACTGGCCTCAAAAGAGACGGACCCTCCTCTTCTCCTGCCATGACTGATGACGTGCAAGGCCATCAGGCTACCAGTCCCCTGGGAGCTCCTTTGGCTACTTCGACCTCCAATACAGGTGCCACTGATTCCAAGCAACAGAGAACTGTTGATCATCCCACTGGCTCCAAGACATCCTATGAGAACCCGTCCTCCTATGTCTGCATCATTTGTGCATGC